TATTTTCTTTTTTAAGGCACATAAATATTCACATAAACATTCCCTGGCTGTAAGCCTTGGCAGAAGCCTAGGTCACACCCTACTTGTTCAAAATAAAAATGTCCAAGTGTTACAAATGAAATCAAAATAATGAATCCAATGAAATCTCACCGATAACTGGTATGATTTCTCTGGCTTTCCCCATTTTACATGTGGGGTGGGGACGTGCTGCTGATGTCTGTTCACAGTGGACCAAGGGGTCTCCAGGAGGTAGCCCCAGGGCTGATCTGACTCGGTCCCAATGGCAAGTTCGGGGTCCTCTCCCTAAGCCGGAAGACGAGTGTCTGTAAGGGGGTGGAGCAATGACTGTGGCTGGTCACAACCGCCGTCACTGGTGCACCTTAGAGACCAAGGCCTTACAGCTCGCGTTAGACTTTCTGCACATACTGTTTCCTCCTGCCCAACAGGAGCAACTGTACGCTCTCTCCGACCACTACCAGTGCAGCAGCTAAGAAATACCCACCAGTTTTCCCTAAGTCTGGGGTTGTCTGGCCTTGATGACCTGCCTAGACCAAGGAAGAATGGTGTACAACATGGTCAACAAATACTTCCGCCACAGCAGCTTTCTCTAGAAAAGCCAACAGCAGTAGCTCGAGGGTTGCCCCGCCGACCTGTCAGAAGCGGCCCTGTGCTCCTTGGGAGGCGCCTCATACTGTTTCTGGAAACTTCCTATTCGGGCTCCTGCCCTAAGCTTCAGGCATGTGATTAGATTCTCCCAGCCTCACACATGTCCTCTCGCACACTGCTACTCGCACCCTCTGCTCTGTCCGCACAGTTCCCCCTAACAGCCCTGTCTCCCGTGCACGTAAGGAATGGGCCCATAAGGGTTTCCCATTTCAAATCTTGACTTAATCACACCTGCAAAGCCCTTCAACCAAGTAAGGTGACAGATGCATGGATATGAACCTCTATGGGGCCATTTAATCCATCTTCCAAAGTCACATTAACATGAACTCATGAATTTTCTAATACACTTCTTGTAATTTTTTTT